GCAAAATAGCTCTGGTGCTAGTGCCAGCCTGGAGGAAATGAATGACATCAGTTTTCAGCATTATTGCTGGGTTGGGGGGAGTCCCTGAGCGTCCTGAGTCTAATTGGGGGTGCCACCCACCCCTCTGTCTGCCACATTGCATTTGAGCACGTCTGACCTGGTTCAGTGGGGGCACAGGCACCCTGCACTAATGAGGAAGGCACTTGGGGGAGAGCCTTGCGGGTGGGCCTCCCCAGCTCTGCTGCCCACCCTTGAATCACATGCTGGACCCCAGCCTCTGGGAAAGGGTCATAGTTCACCTCTCATCACAAGGTTAGGCAGCCACCTCCTGTGAAGGTGAACAATTGCCACTATATCATGTCTCTCAGCCTTGCAGCTCCCCTCATCCCTGGGATGGGTGATGCATTGTTCCTAACTTGTATAATTCCTGTTTAATGTTCTCAAGGCACAGCAGTTACAGGCACGTGCCCTGAATTGCCTAGGCATGAGACTTGGCACTGCCACTTTGCTGGGTGACTTAATTAATTCAATTGAGGCTATTGAAGGCAGGTGGATAATAGGACCTGCCTCAGGATGGGGTGGGGGTTAAAAGATATTGGATTGTGTTCAGCATGCAGCAGGGACCTGGAAACTCTTAGCCACTAGTGATGTGAGGATGGTGGAGTGGGATGAAACAGTACAAAAGCCAGAGTGCCAGCTACTCGGGAAAGATCACTTAGTAAGGTGCCACCTCTCAGGAAGGTAACCTAGCAGAGTTTATCCTTCAATGCTGGAATGTTAACACTAGACAAAGCAGTTGGCTTGTGATGGGGGCCACATTATCTGGAAATGCCTGTCTTGAATCATTAGAAGCCAAAGTGAGGTACTTGGGAAGAGGTAGGAGAGATGTGTATCTACCAGTACACACCAATACAAGGTGCTCATTTCTCCCTATTTCTAAGAGCATGTAGTTCTTTTTTCTTTTTCTTTCCCTTCCTTCCTCTCCTCTCCTCTCCTCTCCTCTCCTCTCCTCTCCTCTCCCTTCTTTCTCTCTCTTTCTCTCTCTTTCTTTTTTTTTTTTTTTTTGACAGAGTCTCACTTTGTTGACCAGGTTAGAGTGAGTGCCTTGGCGTCAGCCTAGCTCACGGCAACCTCAAACTCCTGGGCTCAACCAATCCTCCTGCCTCAGCCTCCCGAGTAGCTGGGACTACAGGCATGCGCCACCATGCCCGGCTAATTTTTTCTATATATATTAGTTGGCCAATTAATTTCTATTTATAATAGAGACAGGGTCTCCCTCTTGCTCACGCTGGTTTTGAACTCCTGACCTTGAGCAATCTGCCCCCCTTGGCCTCCCAGAGTGCTAGGATTACAGGTGTGAGCCACCGCACCTGGCCTGGCCAGATTGCTTTTGAAGGAGAGGCCCTAGTAGAGAAGTCGTCTTCCTTTCTTGGTTTTTGAGCTGTGTGTGGGTTTTGAAGTCAGAAATTGGAGGCAAGAGATAGGGAGACAGGGAGGTCTTACAAGCTGACAGCAGCATATGCCTATGGGCTCAGTTTGTTTGGCTGGTGTGTAGAAGGGGAACAGGGAAAGGACCTGTGCTAGGCATGTTTTAATCGTGGGTAAAGGTTCTAGAGCTAGTGTGCCAGCTACACAGTCTGGACAGTAAGGATAGTTAATTTTATTAATGAACCCAAGGTGATGATAAAGATAGAAAAGAGTTTTTAGTGGAATCGCATTTAATTATGAAAAGGGAAAGAGGTGTATTTTATCTACTCAGCTCACTTTTGGGCACCCAGGTAGCTGGTGGCATTTATAGTGAGTTTCCTTCCCTGAATGTTAGTCCAATGCTCATAGGGCTGGCTCTAGGGGCCTGAGGGTTTTCCTGAGGTCTGGGTCAGACAGGCTGGCAGCAAATTGGCACTGCTGAGGCCTTGTGGAGAGGCCTCAGGTAGTTAATCATTGTCAGCTCTGGGCTGCAGGGTCCACCTGGGCCTGTCTAGGAGGGGAGACTGCTGTCTGGGTTCTTGTCCAAGGTAGGGGCCATCTGAGGGGCTGTCTGTCCAAAGCTGCCTGAGAAACCCACCACCCACCTGAACTCCAGGCACAGGTGAATGGAAAGACAATTATGGCCTAAAGTTTAGGCCTCTGCTCTGTTTCCAGCTCCTGGCTACAAGCCCTGTGCCCCTCTCTCCTCCCTGCAGAGCTCCCTGAGAGTGGTGGACCCTTCTCAGCCTCACCCTGTGGTCCAGCCTCTCATGCCATGCCAGGCCACCCAGGTTACTTAGTTCACTGGTTTGGCCTGAGGTGAAACTCTTGAAATTAATGATTATTCTGAGCCACACTCCAGCAGGTTTCCTGGTTTCCTGGGATTCTGGCTGCCTGGCTTCACAGGAACTGGCCATAGGTCAGTCAGCCTGTTCTTCCGGGTCATGACCTGAGAAAAAAGGGACTGAGAAGCAGCCGATAGGGCTGGCTTAGGCATGGCCGCAGTCCTAGGGAGTTGCTGGTGAGGGGGGGGTCCCTTAACTTGTGCTAAGAGACCACTAAGAGCCCAGGAACTGGGAACCATGCAATCTGGACCATGTGGGATAGAGAAATACTTAGAGCTGTGTATCAATGTGTATTGTTTATCAGGATAGTGCTTAACGTGAATGTTAATTGCTTAGGAGTCTTGTGTAAACATCTTGTTAAAATCCTGATTCAGGTTGGGCGTGATGGCTCATGCCTATAATCCTAGCACTCTGGGAGGCTGGGGTGGGAGGATTGTTTGATCTCAGGAGTTTGAGAGCAGCCTGAGCAAGAGGGAGACCCTATCTCTACCAAAAATAGAAAAAATTAACTGGGCATGGTGGCACATGTCTGTAGTTCTAGCTACCTGGGAGGCTGGGGCAGGAGGATCACTTGAGCCCAGGAGTTTGAGGTTCCTGTGAGCTAGGCTGACGACACACCACTCTAGTGTGGGCAACAGAGTGAGACTCCGTCTCAAAAAAAAAAAAATCCTAGTTTGGTAGGGGAAGGGTGATACCTGAGATTCCACAGTTCCAACAGGCGCTCAGGTGATGCCGGTGCGCCTGGTCCAGGGGTGCTGATTCCTGAGCCACATAGGGTCTAGTTTCCCTGTGCCCACTGCTGGGCAATGGGCAGGTGCACAGGATGGAATTGGGACCTCATGGGACAAATTGCAAATCTACCCGAAGGCGCCACAGGCATCTCCAGACAGAGCGCCACAGCGCCCCCTGGTGGGCTTGGCGCCCCCACAGCTTACAGCCCAGTGGGCCAAGCTGCTCTTTCTAGAAGGTACCTGGGAAGGCTGACCAGTGTCCTCTCGCGAAGGCTGGTGAGTCCCCAAACGGGGCACAGCTGGGGCAGTGGCTCACACCTGTAATTCCAGCTACCTTGGGAGGCTGAGGCGGGAGGATTGCTTGAGGCCAGAAGTTCAAGACCAGCTAGGACAGCACAGTGAGACCTCATCTCCAGAAAAAATAATTAGCCAGGCGTAGGGTGCGCTCCTGTAGTCCCAGCCACTTGGGAGGCTAAGGCGGAAGAGTCGCTTAAGCCTAGAAGTTCCAGACTTGGCAAGGTAGTGAGATAACTTGTCTTTAAAAAAACAAATCATGGGGGTGGGGGGGTTTGGGGGGTGGTGGCGTGGGCCTGTAGTCCCAGCTACTTGGGAGGTTTAGGTGGAGGATCACTTGAGCTCAGGAGTTTGAGGCTGTAGTGAGCTATGACTGCACTCTAGCCTGGGCCACAGAATGAGATGGGACATGGGCAGGTGAGGCAGGGCCCAGTACACATAGGGAGCTGGTTACTGGGGAAGCTATTCCCAGGCAGGGTCCAAGGGCAGGGTATTGAGTAAATGACATTTTGGAGGTCAAGGATGGGGTATTGGGGTTTCTGTGCCTAGGCCTAATTTTTGCTCATGGAAGGTAAATCAAAAAGGAAAGGCAATCTTTGGAAATTACTGTTTGAGCTGCCATTTGTGCCCTTGTTCTATTTAGCCTGGTCTACCTAATCCTGACCCTACCCCTTAAATGGGATATTTAGCCTAGGAGACCAACCTGGGTCTGTGTGTCAGTTTTCCTTTTCTATAAAATGAACCCACAGTCTCCAGGCTCTTGCATCCAATAAATATCTAAGGGCCCACAATGTAACAGGCAGTGGGCCAGGCCAAAGGTCACACAGCCCCTCACCCCCTGAGAGAGGATCTGGCCCTATATCTTGGCTGATATACCCAGTGATGATGCCCTTACCAGCTGGGGCAGCACTGGGGAGACTGAATCCTAGAGGTGAGGGCCAGGCTACGGCAGGTCAGGGGCAAGTTCCTCTTGTTAACTGCCCCAGCCCTTCTGCCTTTGCAGCCTCCATCCTTCCCTTCTTGGGAACTTGGGACGCTGAGCCCCAGCTGGTGAGGGAGGAGGGGGAGTGAATGACAGGCCAGCAGACCAATGGGCCCTGGAGGATGGGGTTGGGCGGGGCTTGTGCTGCCATGGAGAGGAGAGAAGCTGTTCTGTGGGGGAGGAGGGGGCTGTGGGAAGAGGACCTGGAGATTCAGGGGAAGGGAGAGAGCAAACAAAGGGGTCAGGAGAGAAAATAATGCACTGGCTTCCTGAGCCCCTGCGGAGGCTGAGCAGGGAGAGGGGGCCAGGGCCAGAGGGGACTGAGTCTGGCGGCAGGCTGGCAGGGGCAGGCAGGTCCTAAATGGCATTGTTTGAAGGGCCGGCTAATTGCACAGAGCATTCTGAGCCTCAGACCCCAGCCCTGTCCTCTGTCCTGGGTGCTGGCATCTGAGTCTTCGGGATAGCCCCGCCACATGGAACCAAGTCCTGAGCCTCCGAGTTTGGTGAGGGGGCAGGCTTGGGGGCAGCCTGGGCGGGTCCCTCGGCAGGAGTATCACCCTGAGAATGGCTCATGGGCCTCTCTTGGCCAGAGGACATGGAGTCAGCCAATGAAGGGAGGTTTGGGGACATGCTTGCCCCCCTGCTTCCCTTCCACCCTACCCATCCTGGCTTCTCCCACAGGAAACAATGAAGGGAGACACCAGACATCTCAATGGAGAGGAGGACGCCAGCGGGAGGGAGGACTCAATTGTCATCAACGGGGCCTGCAGCGACCATTCCTCAGACTCGCCCCCCATCCTGGAGGCTATCCGCACCCCGGAGATCAGAGGTGGGGACCAGGGGGTAGGGCCAGGCACTGATGGCAGTGGCAGTCCCTGCAGACACAGCTGCCAGGGGAGCCTCCTGGCAGGCTCAAGGGAGGCTCTGGGGAGAGCCTGTACCTAGTACACCCACTGGGAGGAAAGGGCTGTGAGGACAGCCAGAGCCAAAGGCCCTGGCACCTGCCCTGGGCCTCTCATCTCAGCTGGGGTGATGGATGGTTCCCTGTCCTCATCCAGTCATGACACAGGTTGTCTTGGCATAGGCTGGGGACTTTGGCTCTTCTGCAGTGGGACCCCTCTACCCTCAGAGTGGGTACTAAGGTTGAGCAAGGATAAAAAAGACGAAGGAGGGGAGGTCTGAGCCTTGCTTCCTTTTTCACTTGGGGTTATTCCCCAGCTGGCTAGGGAACCCCTGTACTGTCTGTACCCTTGGCTGTGCCATCTAGTAGGACTTCCTGTCAGTGGGGTGTTCTATTTCTGCATCATTCACTACAATAGCACTTGCCAGGTGTGAGCACTTGTAATGTGTCTGACAGGACAGACACCAAATTGTTCCTTTATACGTAGTGAGTGGCCACTGGATTGGGCATCACCCTTCTGGAAGGAATTGGATGCCTCCCTGATATGTATCTTCAGTGTTGTTTTGGGTCCTATCTTAGCCTGGCCTTGTGCCCATCCTCTTATGAGTGCATGGAGAGGACTAGGGATACTGAGGGGCTAAGTTAAACCCCGAGGGTGACAGTGATTTTGGGCAGATTCCAGGCCACAGAACAACCGCTTCCTCCAAACACAGACTCCTGGCTGTTTCCTCCACAGGTCGCAGGTCAAGCTCACGGCTGTCCAAGAGGGAGGTCTCCAGTCTGCTAAGCTACACTCAGGTATGGTCTCTTCTCTCCATTTTTCAGGGTTCAGGGACATTGCCTTTAGCTTTCATCAAATGAGCAACCTGAGGCACATGAAAATTTGTATCAGTAAATTAAATTTAAAAAATGTTTTTCCTAAATTATGAAGTTTTACCAGATGCTTCCTGTGTATATTTGCATTTTTTCTCTGTCAGGGTGATCGATTACATTTGTACATTTCTAATACAGTAGTCCTGGCTTTACCTGCGGTTTTGATTTCTACTGTTTCAGTTCCATGCAATCCACCGCAGTCTGAAAATATTAAATGGAAATTTCCAGAAGTAAATAAGTTAAGCACCATTCTGGTGGCATGATGAACTCTCACACTGTCCTAGTCCAAGATGTGAATCATCTTTGTCCAGCATATCTACACAGTGTATGCTATCTGATCAGTTGTTGAAGTATTAACAATTGTTTGTGCTTGTTTGTGTTCAGGTAAACCTTATTTTACTTAATAATGGTCCCAATGCACAAAAGTACTGATGCCGGGAATTTGCATATGCCAAAGAGAATTGGTAGAGTGCTTTCTTTAAGTGAAAGTTCTCATCTTAATAAGTAAAGAAAAAATTGTATGCTGAGGTTCTGAGATCTATGGTAAGAATGAATCTTCCATGCATGAAATTGTAAAGAAGGAAAAAGAAATTCATGCTAGTTTTGCTGTTGTACCCCAGACTGCAAAAGTTACAGCCACAGTGCATGAAAAGGGCTTAGTTAAGATGGAAAAGGCATTAAATTTGTGGGTGACAACATGTTGTGCCAGAAAGCATTAATCCTGTATGAAGACTTCAGCCTGCTATCCCCTAAAACGACTGGCACCAAGCCAGTGACTGCAGGTGAGGGATGTTATACAGACTCAGGAATAGATTTGGAGTGAAACATTCCTGGAGAGGCTGCATCTGCCAATAAAGAAGTTACTGCCACATTTTTAGCAGAGTTGAAATTGATTAAGGAGAAAGGGTGCCATCCAAAGTAAGTCTTCAATTGCAATGAAACTGGGCTCTTCTGGGAGAAAGAGCCTACATTTTCACAACAGTGCAAAGGATGCATGTGAGCATAACGCATGGCAGAGCAGATCAACTCTGGTGACTACAGTGTAGGAAGATATTAATATTTTGAGAGCGGGAGAAGTCCCATTCATAAAACTTATATTACAGTGTATTGTTATAGTTGCTCTACTTTATTAGTTGTTGTTAATCTTTTGCTATGCCTAATTTATAAATTAAACTACATCACAGGTATGAATATAATATATAGGAAAACTTGTATATAGCACTCAGTACTGTCCAAGGTCTCAGGCATCCACTGGATGGGGGGGTGTCTTGGGATGTACCCCCTGCTATAAGGGGGAGACTACTGTTCAGCAAACTGTCCTTTCATTCTTGGAATGAGTCCAACATGGTCACGGTATGTTTTGAAGTTGATTTTATTCATTTATCCATGAATAAAATGGATGTGTGATTTTATGTCTTCAACTATAATCCTGCCTTTTTGATAGGACTGTGACCTCAAAGTATCTTTTTTTACAAGTTTAAAAAAACTTGTCCAAGCATATTTTAGGGAGTTTTAAGCAATTGTTACAAAATATTTCAGACTTGCTGTAATGTCAAGGTTTCTACCTCATTAGATTTTTTTTCCCCATCATGTTTTTGTCCCCCTTTTTTGTGCCTTCTGTTATCCTATTAACCTTAGAGTTTTGTCAGTTTGGTTACTTTATTTTGAAGAGCCAGTGTCAGGCATTGGCGATAGTCAATAAGTCACGGACAATGAAAACCCATCATCAGCTTCCATTCCCTTGGTGCTGGGCAACCCACTGAGAACCCCCAGGTCATGAGGAACGAGGAGCTGTGTTGTGTGAGGAATTAAGACTGTACTGGTCACAGGCACAGGACTGCAGTTTGTTTCTGGTAGTGAGTTATCAGTCACTGTAATGAAATCTCCTGTCTGAGCATTTCCTTTGTGCCTGGCACTGGGCTAAGTGTGTGCATGATTTGATTCTCTCTATGTTATGCTATCAGGGAAGGAGTGGTATTCCAATTTTAAAGGGAGGGAAATGGACTCACCCAAGGCTACACAGTTGGTGAAAAATCAAGTGCTTAGCACTGCAGCCACGCCTAGCCACTTACCGCTTTAGATTTTGTGTTTGGTTTATGGTAGGTTTTGGTGACAGGCATGGGACCTGCCCGCGGGATCTTAATGACATGAGCAGGGGCAGTGGCATTGCCACTGTATCAAGAAGCATCTCCCTGGAGCCAGTTGGCCCCCGTCTTCTTCCATGCCAGGAGCTGTGCCTCGGGATAACTGACCGTGTCTCCCTGCTAGGCACAGACAAGTCAGTCTTGTGTATTGCAATCGCCTCATTTGTTTGGCTTCAGGGTTCCACGGGGTTGTAAATGATTTACTCCTGTCTTGAATTCATGATCCCATGGTGAGCTGTTGTAAAATCTTATTGGAATAAATGAGGTAGTTGAAAATATTTGTATGTCTGTCTCCTGCATCAATATTACAATGGGTTTCTGTGTGATTAACTCTTTATTTTCAAGTATTTTACTTGTGTGGCTTCTTAATTACATTGACAATTTCATGATTTTCCTTTATAAAGGATCTGACTGGAGATGGAGATGGCGACGGGGAGGATGGGTACGGCTCCGACACTCCGGTGATGCCAAAACTCTTCCGTGAAACCAGGACTCGGTCTGAAAGCCCCGCTGTAAGTACCCCCACGCTACGCAAAGGCACTTTGCGCCACTTGTGGGCCTGCACCCAAGCATGTGCTAGGGGATCGTTGAAGAGAGAGGTGAACAAATGTCTTGATGAAATCGGGAAATGACAACAGCTCACAGACTAGTCATTGTTGGAAGGTTTTCTTTTATGTGGCATTTCTTTCACATGGAAGTTTTTTCTTGCAACATCCTTGGAAGTGCCCAAGTGTGATAAGAGTTTTCAGGCTGGATGGCTCAGCTGCCAATTACTTGTGGGTGTCAGTCAATTCTGTGGGTAGATTTGGTAGCTCAGGAAGGCTGTGAGGTCTGCAGACAGGAAGACAATTACTGTTCACAATCACCCAGCCCTTCAGAGAGCAGAGTGACACTTGGTGACTATTCCAGGTATGTGTTATAATCTTAGTTACCTTCTCAGCAAATGGTGTGTATTATCCTTCTTAGAATAGAGGAGAGTAGAGTCTAGTAACTTACCCAAGTTAAACATGAACTCTTTCTATGCAGAGTTTGAAGTTGGGTCGAAAACACGCAAGTTCATGTCATTTTGACAAAGAGAGCCTAAGGGCTTCTCTTTCATCTTGATGATCTAATACCTTCTGAAGAACCCAATAACTGGCTTTATCCTTATTTTAGAAAAAAAGTTTGTGTTAGGGTAAATAATGGATTTTATTTTTCATTGCCAATTTATAGGTGCCATTTATAGCTGGAGCAGTTTGCCTGCTGGGACAGGCAGAGCAGAGTCTGCTGGGGACTGCCATGTGGCCCTGCTGACCACCCTGCCACCCCTATTCCATGAGCTGGGGAATTCTTGATGGGCAGTTACCAGTCCAGAGTCCCCATCTATTTAATTACCTGTTCATTTCCAGTTGGCCTGAGGCTACTGGGTCTCCTTGGCCACCGCAAGGCTGAATCTTGGCCCCCATCCCAGACCTCACCTCCAGTCTCAAGGCCCGGTGCTTATCCTCTCTTGCTTCCAGGTCCGAACCCGAAATAACACCAGTGCCTACAGCCGGGAGAGGCTCAGGCCCTCCATACGTGCCACCCGAGGCCGGCAGGGCCGCAGTCATATGGACGAGTCCCCCGTGGAGTTCCCGGCTACCAGGGTTGGTTCCCCAGATGCCCAGACCCTGTCCCCAGCCTCTAGCTGGGAGATCTGCCTCACTCACTGCACCACTGGCCGTGTCATTTCTTCATGCTCCTCTGCTTTTCAGGGTCTTGCTTTTCCTTATTCTCCTGGATACAGTTCCTTAGCCTGTTGACTTCTCTCCTGGCCTGAGCTTGGATGGAACTCTGTTGCAAACAGAAGAATTCCCTATTGCCTAGGTTCTTGCCCCTCCTTGGAAAGCACTGGAAACCACTGATTTCCACAGCTCTCCTGTTTCCCTATCTCTTCAACTGTCTAGAGGCCACCCTAGCGGCTACAGAAAAACTTCTCTCCTGTTCTAAGGTTGGGTGCACAATAAGCGCTGAAAGAAGCCAGTGACCCTCTCCAAGCTTGGCTCAGTCCGTCGTCATTACCCACCATTGTGCCTTTGTCTTCTGTTCTTGTCTCTCTGTCTCTGGGACGGTTACAATGACTTCCTCCCACCACTTAAGGAATACTCGTTCCTGGAAAACTGTCCTCCGTGCTCTCTTCTCCTGAACTTATGTCGTCACTCTTTCTGTTTGCCTGGGAAGCAGGTGGGGGTACCATTGGTCTCTGGTCACCAACCTGTCTTGCTGTGGTCCAAACTACGTGTCCTTCTGTCCACAGTCCCTGAGGCGGCGGGCAGCAGCATCAGCAGGCACGCCGTGGCCGTCCCCTGCCAGCCCTTACCTCACCATCGACCTCACAGATGACACCGATGACACAGATGTGACACCCCAGAGCAGCAGTACCCCCTACACCCGCCTAGCCCAGGACAGCCAGCAGGAGGGCTTGGAGTCCCCACAGGTGGATGCAGAAAGAGACGTAGACAGTGCCGAGTATCAGGTACCCCCAAGAAGGGCTCTTGCCCTGATCCATGGTGACCAGAGAGGCCAGCTACTGTTGGCTTCTTACAGTGACGAACCACTGTTATGATTATTGTCATGTTTATCATAAACAATATCCATATGCAGCATAGTTCTTCTTTAACCTGTTCCCTTCCCAGACGCTGTTATTTACCACATGAATGTTGATTTTTTTTTTTGAACATTGAATTTTTTTTACATAAGAAAGCACTGCCTGTATACATAGTACATATGTGATTCTGTTCATATTATACGTACAATTGTAGAATGGCTGAGAAGTAGCATTGCCTCACGTTCATGTATGTATGATACACCCTCTTGTCTGGATCACAGCTTAACCCATCGAGCTTGTTTATGTCTCACTCAAACAGTGCTGCATGAAGCCTCATTACACGTGCATGTACGTGTGTGGCATTAGGATTCTTTTTTTCTATGTGCATTACTTCAGAGTGCATCATACTGTAGATACACTTTGATAACTTGTATGTTTTCATGGGCTTCTTGCGTTTCATAAGGTTTTTTTGTTTTGAGACAGAGTCTTTCTCTGTCATCCCTGGAAGACTGCAGGGGTGTCATAACTCTGAAACCTCAAACTCCTGGGCTCAAGTGATCCTCCTGCCTCATCCTCCTGAGTAGCTGTGACTATAGGCATGTGCCATGACTCCTGGCTAATTTTTCTACTTTTAGTAGAGATGAGGTCTCTCTTTTGCTCAGGCTGGTCTCAAACTCCTGAGCTCAAACAGTCCTCCCACCTTGGCATCTGGAAGTGCTAGGATTACAAGTATGAGCGATTGTGCCTGGCATTATGGCAGTTATTTTTTGTCATTGTGGTCAGTGGAGTGGGTCCAGGGTGGTCTGTCTTATTACTGGGCTTCCTTCATGTGGTTTTTCTTCCAGGATGGGAAGGAGTTTGGAATAGGGGACCTCGTGTGGGGAAAGATCAAGGGCTTCTCCTGGTGGCCTGCCATGGTAGTGTCCTGGAAGGCCACCTCCAAGCGACAGGCCATGTCCGGCATGCGATGGGTCCAGTGGTTCGGTGATGGCAAATTCTCAGAGGTGAGTCCAGGGCAAGGCAAAGTCTGTAGTTGGGCCCACAGACCCGAGGTTGTGCTTTCCTTGGTTACAGTTGCCTGTTGAGATGACACCCTCTGATTACTTTCTGCACGTCAGTGGGGCTATGTCTTCACTCTGTCTAGAAGGAAGAACAAAAACTTTCCTTGTTAACCAGTTCAGACAGATTATTAGGGTCTTACAGGGCCAGAGCTCAGTCTAATCTAACAGGGAGAAAGAACTGGTATGTTCTCTGGATCCACAGCTACTTGGATTTTATTTGATTTTTTAGGGTTATTTCTTTGGGGCAGAATCACCAGCTAGGGCTGTAAGGGGTCTGGAGCAGCTGCCTGGGTAGGCAGGCAAAGGTGCTCAGTAGAGAAGCCTGAAAGAAACAGGAAGGACTGTCACTGCCTCTTTGTGTCATTTTACTGTGTAGAGAGAGGAAGGGTTTAGCTTATCTTATCCCTTGGTGGGCCTAGGGAACATGCCGTTGCTAATATGAAAAAGGTCTTTATAGAGTTGGTTGAGTCTTTTACTTGTTTATATTTATTTATATTTTGAGATAGGATCTCCATGTGAGCCTAGGGCTGGAGTACAGTGGCATCATCGGTAGCTCGCTGCCACCTCAAAGTCCTGGGCTCAAGTGATCCTCCTGCCTCCTAAGCTTCCTGAGTATCTGGAACTATAGACATGCACCCACCATATCTGGCTACGTTTTAAAAGTTTTGTAGAGATAGAGCCCTGTTATTTTGCTCAGGTTGAGCTTGAATCCTGGCATCAAGTGATTCTCTAACCTAAGCCTCCCAACGTGCTGGGATTACAGGTGTGAGCCACCAGCCTGGCCTATTCCAGAGCCTCTAGATGATTGATGTTAGCCATTTAAAATCTTCCTTGATGATGAGGGCTTGCTGGAGAGCTTTGTTGGGCATAAATTAGGCTATTTTGATTCTTAGACCTTGTTGAAGGCATATTCCAAAAAGGTTTTGATTGGAGGAGTGCAGAGTATCTTCTGTGATAGTCTCTTAGAAAAGTTAGTCCAATCATCAAAACCCCTAGTGGTTATAGTCCTACAGCAAGTTGGGCCATGCAGGATGGAGGCTAATATGGGAGTGAAGGACCATCTAGTACATTCCTGGGATTCAGCCTCAGGACAAGGTTCTGATTTTCCTGTGAATTGCACTCCCTTGGGTCCCTTTGCCAAAAGCACATTGAAATTTCCCCAGGGCTAGAATAATAGGATGCAGTCTGCCTGGTAGGGGAGTCTCTGCTTGCAGACACCGCCTTTGGCCAACAGAGGGAGCAAAGGGACAGTGTGCTGGGCTCTGCTGGCCCTCAAGTGTCTAAGCAAGCCCAGGGCTGGGTGCAATGACTTCTGTGAAATAAAGGAAATGCATTGTTTCCAGTTACTTTGGCCCACTGAGACATAACATTTGCTTTGCACAGCAGGGTCTGATGCTAATTAGATGCAGCACAGGGCTATTAGCATGGAGGGACGAGATTGCCACGTGGGCTGTAGCTTTGGCCCCATGTGTGTGGTTTTTGGAGCAGCATCTGCATTTTAGCAGTTTTTCTTTTTAACCTACCAGAGCTCCAGTTCACCCCCACTTGTGGGAGTACAGGATCTCAGGTACAAAGAAGAGGTTAGCATAAGTGTGAGCACTTTGTGGAGAATGGAATATTCTATGTATCTTTTATTCAGTTCCCATTAGCATTCCCTGAACACCTAGTTTCAACTCCCCCTGGCAACCCGAACTACTCACACATGTCTTGGGGACCTGGAACATCAGAAGAAATGTAGAATATGAGTCAAACCACAAGAAGTAAAATCAAATAATCACAATAACTAAAAAGTACGTACTCTGTGTCAAACACTGTTCTCTAAACACATTAAGTGCACTCATTTAATAAAAGGCTAAAGAGTAACCTGTTGTAATCACCATCAGCAAGAAGGGGAATGACCTGTGTTTAACCCCCAGTGCTCTAACATTTATGAACTTCATCCCCAGATTTAAATAAAGTGTGTGAAATATCTTCCCCCTCTGATGGACCACCCTGTCAGAGACACAGGTGTAGCTGGATATTGATGAAAGCTTTCTCTTGTAGGTCTCTGCGGACAAACTGGTGGCCCTGGGGCTGTTCAGTGAGCACTTTAACCTGGCCACCTTCAATAAGCTGGTTTCTTACAGGAAGGCCATGTACCATGCCCTGGAGGTAACTTGGGAGTTGGGAATCAGGGCCAGGCCAGGAGAGCAGTGATGAAGCAAGAGTCCTACCAAAAGCTAGCTCAGAACAGTGTTGCCAAGGGTGGCTTGGAGGGAAAGGATGGCATGGCCATGGAGGAGGTGAATGTCGACGTGATGATGGCCTGATAATGGGTGGTGTCACTGGGAGGGGAGACTTCCCATTAGTTGCTAGTGTCCACTTCATGGCTGTGGGTACTGCCAGCTGAGTCAGGAAGCACAAGCACTGAGAAATGGAGTGCAGTATTCAAGTCAGGGAATATGCCTCTGCAGAGACCTCAAGGCCTCCTTCCTTTCAGTGGTGGGGTGCAAGGCCAATCCTGGGCAGCAGCTGAGGTCAGCTGCCTCATTCCGTTATCTGTGGGCTATGTTACCTCCTGTGAGCCACTAGGCTTTGTGTCTCTTTCCACCTTGACTTGAAACTGCCTTTGTGAGCCTGCATTTATGAGCCAGCCCCTGTGCTAGTTTCCATGAGCTTAATTAGACATGTAAATCCTCCTGGTCCTTCTTAATACAGGACACTTGATAGCATCCTCTTCTTTATTAGGGAGATAAAACAAGAAATCTGGCCCTTTCTGAGACAAGGTACAAAGGAGATAAGACAGGTGCTGGCTGAGCCTTTGCATCATCAGCTAATTCTGATTCCTCTGCCTTTGATAGGGAGCTGACTGTTCCAGTTCCCTGGGGGGAAGAGATCATATTTGGAGCCTGTATGGAAAGACTTCCCCCCCTCCTGCCTCTTTGCCTTGCCCTCCTGCCTGTTTCCCTGCACAGGCCCCTCCCTCTGTCACATACCACAGTCCAGGGCAGCTGTCTGGCTATGAAAGGGCCCAGTGTGAGGGGAATGTGGGCCCCAGCTGGGGGAACCCTGGGTGTGGCCCGAACCCTGTCCCTGATTCATCACAGACTCTGCCTTTGCAGAAAGCCAGGGTACGAGCTGGCAAGACCTTCCCCACCAGCCCTGGAGACTCACTGGAGGACCAGCTGAAGCCCATGTTGGAGTGGGCCCACGGGGGCTTCAAGCCCACTGGGATCGAGGGCCTAAGACCCAGCAACAAGCAACCAGGTGGGAATGTGTCCCTATGGAAGCACCCACTGCCACAGCCTGTGGGACCATCTTGAGAGATTCAGCGCCCCCCGCCTGCCCCTTCATCCCAACCAGCTTTCTTTTAACTGGTCTCAACCCTGAAGTCCACATCTTTTGCCCTATGAACCTGTCATTCTATGGAATAACAGTCTAGGGCATACGAAGGCTGTGTCAGCCTTATCTGGCTTCCCTGGTCACATTCCAGTTAAACAAAGGTCACACGTATATAATTTGGATTGAATTTGTCCTGAAGACTTGAGTAAACTGGAAGTCAAGATGCAATCTTCACTAGCTTAACCTTCTTTTCTTTAAAGGAAAAGTTAATTTTGTTAGAGAAAACTTGAAAAGTGCTTTTTAAAAAGCATTTAAGTCATCTCGGAACATTTTGACCAATGTCATATTTCCTCTACTATAAGGTACTTGTGGTTTCCTGAAATTTGGGCAGTGTTTTACAATCCATACGTTTAATGTAATGTTTTCTGTTTTGTTTTTTTCCCCCCAAAAAAGTGGTTAATAAGTCGAAGGTGCGTCGTGCAGGCAGTAGGAAATTAGAATCAAGGAAATACGGTATTCCCTTCCTTCCCATCTTTTGACTGTGAACTGTTTTCTCTACACTTTCTTTTGATTTCTTTGCGTATACCGTGGTCACTGGAAAAGAATCAAATTTCTTCGAAAGTCAACCTGAACTCCCACTCAAACCTTCCACCTCACTTCCCACCCTCACGAATGCCCTTAGGTTAACATCGCTGGGTGCACATCCTTCCAGCTTCTTCTGTGCACTAGTTGGGTTCCTGCTTTCCCCTTTATTTCTCACTATTAATAATATATGCACCGTCAATGTCATTTTGTCACTAAGGGGCCTTGTGATTTTTAATGGCTGCGTAATTTTCTTTCCTAGGGGCAGAGTTGAATTTAACCATATCCATTATGATTCACTGTATAGATTGAATAGAAATATAAATGGGGTTTGTAGAGTTTCAATATCATTAAACATGATGGTAGCTTCATTGAGAAGTAAAAAGGGACAGGTGAAATGCATATTCGTCAAATTTTATTTAACCTCCAGTTTCTAAAATATTAACATTTCAATAGTCAGTGTAAAAATTGAGATATTTTACATTTCCTTTTAGTATTGTCTTCAACATCCCACGTACATTGTGCACATCTTACAAAACTTCCTGTTCTGATGCTAAATTTTTAATGACAATACTTGATCTGTATTAACTAAATATATAAACTCTTAATTAAATACAAATAGATTCTTAGCTGCATATAAATAAACTAAATTCATAAAATTTATAGTTGGAAAATTAGATTTAATGTGAAATTCCATTTCTTGTGCACTAGTTGAGTTTCAAGTTTGTGGCTACCATGTTGTACATAATAGACATAAATGTGGCTTAGCCATGGATTGAGCTTTATCTGGTGTTCTATGAGCTGGGTCTGGAACGATGGCTTCTTTCATACATAAAGATGTTTAAAACCCCGTAAACATGTGCTAGACATGGATCCCTCTATGTGAGGGGATTTGAATTGGCTCCTGTCCCAAGCTGCCCATCTAGGGGACATGTACACCCAGCATAAGTACCCCTTGTCACGCCCCAGATGCAGCTGGTACCTGGGCATAGCCAGCCCGGTTTTGTCCCAAGCCAACATACTGTTTGGGTCATCCTCCTATCAAGCCATGCCCGTGGTCTTCTCACCTTTCACAGAGAACAAGACAAGAAGACGCACAGCTGACGACTCGGCCGCTTCTGACTACTGCCCTCCATCCAAGCGCCTCAAGACAAATTGCTACAACGGAAGAGACCGGGGGGACGAGGACCAGAGCCGAGGTGATTGGTGGAGACCTCTGCAGAGCATGTGGTGGTCAACACGGTTCCCTGACCCCATCTCATACCTTCTCCCTGTTCTCTCAACAGAACAAATGGCATCTGATGTCACCAACAACAAGGGTAACCTGGAAGGTAATGTTCTCTCCTCCTGTCCTCCCTTCTCATCCTGGGCAGGGCTCAAGGCCTGCGTTGGTCCAGCCTGTCCACCCTGTTGGGTTTAACCTCAGGTCAAGGCCTGTCTCTGCTCCCTGCATCTTATGTGCTATATTTTATTCAACCAGTTGCCTGATCTTAGCTGAGACAGATTGTGCCCTAGAAGGAGTGAGCGGAGGCGGGGTCAGAATGGAAGCTCTGGTAGTTTGGCCAGGAGAACAATAGCTCAAACCATGATCAGTGGCATCAGGAGCCTTCCCAGAGAAGGCCTGGGACTAGCATTTACTTGAAAGTCGGGACACTTAGCCATTGTCAGGACAATTCCAGTCTGATTGCCAGTGGGTCTGATCCTCTGTCCAGAACATACCTAATGGAATTCAGAGTTGGGAGGTTCAATTCTCCCTCACTTCTTCAGCTTGATATCTGAGTGGTTGCTCAATGCAGGGTAGCAAAACAGTGCAGCCTTGAACCAGAGGACCCTGGATCAAGCTTGGGTTTAGAGCATTCCTGACAACACTGGCATATCCTTCCTGTTCCCCAAGAATCGCTTACCTACCTATTCCTCCTTCCTGGCTAGGGAAGCTTAGTCTTGGGCATTAGAAAGGTCCTATCTACCTGGTTGGTGATGCAAATCAGTTGTGGCCTGGTGATAAGAAAGAAGGCATGGTATCCTACTAGTCAAAGACCTAGGTTCTGAAGTTGTGGTCATGTGCTAATATTTGTAGGATGTGGGCATGAGCAAGTCCTATCATGACTAATTCCCCAGTGTCCTGGTATTTAAAGGCTCTCAAAAGATTTTTCAAATCCGGCTCTTAAAGCCTGTCCCTCGCTGGAGGGACCCCTAGCCATGGTTCTGCCTCACATCTTCCTACTGGGGCAGTGCTTTGCCTGACTTAACTTTCCCAGTCTCTGAAGGGGGGGCAGCTCATTGCAGAGGGTGTGGACTGGGAGGCCCAGCAATGAAGCATTGCAGGGTCCGTGGCACAATGCTGGCCTGGAGAAAGCGCTCAAGACCTGGGAGAACCCAGGCTTCAGCAGCTGCTGCTGGGGGCTTAGTTACCACAAGTTGTGACCCTGTCTTTCCTACAGACAGCTGCTTGTCTTGCGGTAGGAAGAACTCTGTGTCCTTCCACCCTCTCTTTGAGGGGGGCCTCTGCCAGACATGCCGGGTAAGTCCCCCCTGTCCCTGTCCTGGACATTCTGCCCCTTCCCTCTACAAACTCCTGTACTTCCCAGATAACAGCACCTGTGTGTCAGGTGTCAGGTGCCCTCTTGGGTGCCTCCCACCCTTTCTCTGGTGGGGGTTGTTGGGGCAGAGGACAGTGGCAGGCAGGCAGACCACAGTTGTCTCTGTAAAGCTTTGACACCAAGCCACCACAACTTGTTCTGTAGCTGGCCCCTAGGACCTCAGCCAGCCAGCAAGCAGGGCCTGGTTGTCTCTGGTTTCCAATTTCATGGGTGTTTCTTTCTGGCTGCCAGGATCGGTTCTTGGAGTTGTTCTACATGTACGACGACGACGGCTACCAGTCCTACTGCACCGTGTGCTGTGAGGGTCGGGAGCTGCTTCTCTGCAGCAACACGAGCTGCTGCCGGTGAGCTTGGGACCCTGGGGGAGAAACATGAATGGGCTCCACGGCTGCGAAGTCGCGCCCTATGAATGCTGCAGTCTGGAGACAGCTGCCTGCACTTGGCGGAACCCAGGCACAGGGACGGGCGGGCAGCATGTGGTGGCTGTGGTTCTCACGTGGCGGGCAGAGCTGGAGTGCAGGGAGGGTTTGGCAGGTATGCCTGTAAATGAGGGGGAGAAGCCGGAATCAGGGCAGGCTTCCTCCCTGCAAGTTTGGCAGTTGGCCTGAAATCTAAAGCTTTCAGGGGATTGACTGAGGTGGTTGAGAGTGTTTCTGTGCAAAGACCCTGTGGAAATAAGGGGGTGCAGGTGTCCAAGAATGAGGTGTATTCCACATCATGTAACTGGGGCCCCCAAGGTTTTGGGCAGTGAGTTGCCATGTCTTTGGGGAAGTTGGGGGGAGGGGGTGGTACAGGAGACCTGCCAGTGACAAAGCCATCTCTTCTCCCCTGCCACCGGGCACAGGTGCTTTTGTGTGGAGTGCCTGGAGGTGCTGGTTGGCTCAGGCACTGCAGCAGAGGCCAAGCTTCAGGAGCCGTGGAGTTGCTACATGTGTCTGCCACAGCGCTGCCACGGAGTACTGCGGCGCAGGAAGGACTGGAATGTGCGCCTGCAGGCCTTCTTCACCAGCGACATGGGGCGAGAATACGTAAGCCACAGGCTCCTGCCTCCAGCACCCCCGGACCCTAGGGCAAAGGGCAACAGGAGTAATAGGAGAAAAGATCCATTGTACAAGTGGACCTTCTTGGATGCTCCAAGGCTGAGAGCCCGGGCTATTTGACACTTGCGCTGTCCAGTTCTCAGGCTTACAGAGTTCATCCCCCTCTCACAGGATCACGTGAGGGCTCAATGAAGAAATGATGTAGCCTTCTGAGTTAGCAGAGCTGAGCAGGAAGGGAAGAGAGTGAACTTTCCAGTTTGTTAGGGGGCAGCCCTAGGTCATCTCACCTAGAGTGAAGTCTTTATGTGTGCATCCCTGTGGGTGTGATCATCTCTGGCTCATGCCCCAGGATAGAGTGGCCATTCTGTGCAAATGCAGGCCTGGCGTGTTCTCTCTCACCAGTCCCCATCACAGCTCCTAGGGTGGCCACAGCTAGGTTGGAATCCCTCTGAGAAGGGTTGGCCCCCTTCCTTCTTTGTCTCCTTGACCTCTCCTTCCTTACCTGGCAGGAAGCCCCCAAGGTGTACCCTGCGATCCCTGCAGCCCGAAGGAGGCCCATTCGAGTTCTGTCTCTGTTTGATGGAATCGCAACAGGTGAGTTTGGGAGTTCTGTTCTGGGGCTGCACTGTGGCAGGTAGCCTGGGGGCCTGGTCCAGGTGTCTGACACCAATGTCCTGAAAGACTGCTGGGGGGGGTTCTTGTTTGTACCTGTTTTGACAACCACTGGTTCCTTGTTTCTCTCCACCTTGTCACCCAACTGGCACTCTTTGTCCTTTTAAAAGGATGTACATATCATGGCGTTGCTTTTTTTTTTTTTTTTTTACTATGTACAGATTTCTTACAATTTTTATTCCACATTCATGAATATATTAGAGATCAAGTAGGCAATAAAAAGACTACTATCCCCAGTCTTGGTTTCCTTCTGTTCCCCAATGTTTCCCCACATATAGAGTCAGCACAGCCAAATGCATGGCACCCTATGGGCTTTGCCCAGTTTAACTCATTCGATCCTCTACACTTTCCTGTGATGTACTCATGAGTAATATCCTCATTATACCAGAGCAGGAAGCACTGGAAACGCACCTGCCTGCACACTTGCCTCACTTGTGCTTTTATGTGTCTGCCTGGCCCTTGCAGGGTACTTGGTCCTCAAGGAATTGGGCATAAAGGTTGAGAAGTACGTCGCCTCTGAAGTGTGTGAAGAGTCCATCGCTGTCGGAACTGTTAAGCATGAGGGGAATATCAAATATGTGAACGACGTGAGAAACATCACAAAGAAAAATGTGAGGGCATGCTGTACCCTTGGGGGTCGTCTTCTCCTGTTCTCCCCACCCCTCCACACCACGAACCCCATGCACTCCCGTGGCTCGTGGGCCCCACCCCTAGGCCCCGGGCACTGTGGGGGAAGAGAACCTGTGCTCCTATCAAGTTGTAGCACCGAGACCCACAGCTTGGAAGTTGTAACCATAGGGAATCCTGAGCATTAGGTTTTCTAGGGGAAGAAGTGGAGTTGGTGACCAAACAAGTTTTAAGAAGTGGGTCTTTCTGGCCAGGTGACCTGGGATTCCAGGCACTCCTGTGTCTCTGTCCACACCCCTCGCCCTTTCCTGATCCTGACTTGTTTTTCTCTCTCAGATTGAAGAATGGGGCCCATTTGACTTGGTGATCGGTGGAAGCCCATGCAACGATCTCTCAAATGTGAATCCTGCCAGAAAAGGCTTGTACGGTGAGCATCCTCTTCTGATCCCCAGAGGACCTTTGCCACCTGAGTGCTGGTCCAGGTGGAGGGGAGTTTGCTTCTAGCCGGTTTACTGGGAGCCTTAGGGACTCTTGCTGCCTTCCCTGCCCCATTGTAAATCCTCAGTCCACAGAGGGAAAGATCAGTAAATACTGTGCTGTTGCTGCCTGTGTCCTCGCTCAGTCATTCCAGAGGACTTTGGGTTGAAATGGAAAGTTAGGCATTCACAGTAATGTTAGGAGATCATTAGGGACCTGTTTATCTCAGGGAATATGGCCGGTTGGGCTGGAGGTTTTTGAGTGAACCCTGTTCTGTCATCTTTTGTGGGTGTAGAGGGGACAGGCCGGCTCTTCTTTGAGTTCTACCACCTGCTGAATTACTCACGTCCCAAAGAGGGGGATGACCGACCCTTCTTCTGGATGTTTGAGAACGTTGTAGCCATGAAGGTCGGCGACAAGAGGGACATCTCGAGGTTCCTGGAGGTGAGGACCTAGAGGCCTGTCAGACAACCTGGGTAGGGAAACGCCTGCTGGCAGTGGTTGGTGGCTAATGATGAGTGATATCCTGGTTCTTGGTCTGGCTTGGACCATAGAGTTGGGGATTCAGTGGGTTCTGTTCATACATGGGACATATTTGATCTCTAATCTCACCCCAAATCACTGAAGGCAGCAATGATAAAACCTTCCTCTGCTTCGGTGAGGGCTCATGAGATTTGATTTGACTCTTGCTCTAACAAGTTTTTTCTCATTCTTCTGAAAACTATTTTAGGTGTCACAGGGAAGTTAATTATTTACTATTTAATATGCATCAAGCACTGCATTAAATAACTTTTCCATTCCTAGCTCATTTAATTTTTCTCAAAACTTGATAGCTTAAGTTCTGTCTCAGTCTTCAGAACTGGCTGCTTTGCTTTAGAACTTGCATCCAGGTGGAAGGAGCCCTGTGTTGTCCACACTATGTTCCCACAACCGGGGCTTAACTTAGAAGATTTCGTTTTTTACCAGCTCTGCACATCACATTTTTTTTTAACAATCTGGCATGTTCCAGGAGAGATACCTTCTCCCAGAACTTGCAGGTATGACCTGATCTCCTTATCCACCATCAATACAGAGACATTGGCTGTGTCCCCGAGCCAGGCTCTAGATGGCAAGCGGGCTCTCCCATGGCTAGGAGAGTCCATCCATGCCCCTTCCATAGCCAGGAGCAGCCTTGTCACATGCACAGGTCAAGCCCCAATGTTGCTGACACCTGAATTCTGGTGTGGGCTCCTAACAGCTTGATTCTCTGCTTGCAGTGCAATCCAGTGATGATTGATGCCATAAAAGTATCTGCTGCTCACAGGGCACGATATTTCTGGGGCAACCTACCCGGGATGAACAGGTAACAAGGGGCTCTGAGTGGGACAGGTACTGGCCAAGGTAAACATACCTAATGATGTCAGCTCTGATGTTTGAGCCTTCTAGAAAGAGCTGGCTCTGCTGAGAAACAGCCCCACCCTGGGTTTCAGACCACTCTGTGGTCTTTATGGGGCATCCTTGTTTTAGGGTGTTTGGGAAGTACCTGGAAATCTCAGGAAGGACTCTCCATTTCTACTCTGACTTGTTCAAGCTCGAGATGGGCTTGATCTTTTAAGTCCACATGCTGGAGCTAGATCTAGTATGTATTTCTGATCTCTTCTCAGATTTTCATAACCAATATAATTTTTTTTTTCATCATGTATCAAAGGTAGTTCAGTCCTCTTTAGACAGGCGACTTTGCTGAGGATTAATCTCCCATACAGGTGGTTTCCAGAAGAATAATTTGCTAATTCAGATGTAATCTGTGATGGTAATGACATTCCAGACTTGCAAATGAGTTAAGCTTTAAACAGTCTCCTTTAGACGGAAGTGTTTAGAAGCATAATAACTTTCTGGCATTTAACAAAAGTGTCAATAGAGGTGAGTGAATTCTGGAATAGCTTTGAGGATTTTCGTTGGCTATCTTGTGTTTTTAATTGGCTAATTACTTTTTAATTAAAAGTGCTTATCCACTCAACATTTGAGGTATCAATCTGACAGGAACTGTTATACTGCTGCCATTTTGGTGAAACACATGAACGTCAGTCTTGCCTCATGGAGTTGATGTGTTAATGAAGGAAAGGGAGAGAAAGCAGTAATGATTTGAGGTTTATCGCTGGAGGGGGCATTGGAAGGGTTGATGGGGAAGGCAAGGCTTCTTATTCCAACAGGGTCCTAAGTAAAGGAATGGAGTCATGCCGTTAGTAGAGTACTCCATGCAGAAGGCATTGGGTAAAGGGCTATTGCCAAGGCTGGGAGAAAAGCATGGAGAACTCCTGGTATAGGACCTTAATATATAATGTGGGTCTTAAATGTGATACCACATTATCTTTGCATAGGAAATTAGAGGGGCTTTAACACATTAACTGCCATGTGAGTTGTATTTAACTCATGCTAGTTTTGAGCTTGGGGCCTCCTGAAGAAAAACATTGCAATTGGTTCATGAAAATTTTACTTGTTGATGTTCTTATTGATATTAATTAACAAAGTAATTCTAAAAACATGGATTAAATGAATAGAAGTCAATAAATGTCATTTTTCATTAAATTTCATTAAATTAGAAAGGATAGTTTTGTTTCCTGCTTTTATTCTATTTTCATAATAAAACACTATGGCCCTAAGGAAAAATACTTTTTTTCTAGCCTGACAGCATGTTAAGCAGATGGGGTGAATTGTGTCCTAGGTTCGTGGTGGTTCCTGGGTGGAGAACAGACTAAAACAGAATGAGGAGAAAAGTGGAGAGACAAGTTAGTGGCTGGACACGAGTGGTGCTCTCTGGTGTTTGTGGCACAGCAATCCTGTGGGTTTAGGAAGAAGGGGTCAGGATAGGATGTCTGATGCATTGCATGTAGGGGAGATGGTAAGAAGAGTGAGGCAGGATGGGTGGTGTGGCTGAGCTGTACAGGCTCCGGATGGGTGTGTCAAACATCTGCCTGGGGGCAGAGGCCCAAATCATCTGGTTTGTTTGACTTGTGCCTTGTTCTTTTTTCCCTGGTCCCTCAGCTCCCTGGGTCCATGGAGGAGGTTGGGATGGAGACAGATGGGGTGGCATTTGAAACCTAGCAGGTGAGGCCAAGGAAAGTTGACAGTCTAGGGCAACATTTTGTGTGATCCCTAGCCCCTCTTGTGGGCACAGTTTTCATTCTCACATCTGGGTTCTTTTTGGCCACGACAACCCTTCCCCTAACACGGGTTTACTGTGGTCATCAACTCTGCGTTCAGACCTCTTGCACTGGTGTCTGCTTTGGAGCTGCTCAGCTACTTTCAGTTTTATCCCTTGCCCTTCTTTGGCCTCTGTTTGCCTCTCTGTATTTACAAAATACATTTCAAGCGGGAAAGTTAAATAGGGTAGTTAGTTTTACAAACTTCCTCCTGTCCTCTCTAATGAAAGTACCTCCCACTTTTAAAGCGTCCTTAGGCTGCATCCCCAGCAGTGAACCATCAAATCATGGGTGTAGTGTGCTGATGTATCAATTAGACCCACAACGATTTCATCCAAGCTCCTCCTCACTTTAAAAGGGATGCAAAGCCCAAAGAGGTAGCTTGGTGCCTTGCCTAAGGTCACTCAGTCAGTGAGCAGTGGAGCTGGGACCCAAGGGGTCTCCTGACTCCATGTCCTGTGTCCTCACTTTCCTTTGTGGGTGTCTGACTTTGCCCAATAGTAAAGTCAAGAATGGGAACATTACCTCCTGGCTGTTGGTTTGTCCCCTCTAGGGGCTAGTCCATCTCTGGCTTTGACACACAGACTCGTGCTCATGCCAGGATCATTTTCATCATGTAGCAAAGTTCACTGCCAGGGCACATCTCACTCCCACCTTGTGAGGTGCCTAGCCAAGGACCCTCTACAGGCGGTAGAAAGTAATGGGTTTTGGCTGTTCCCAGGCCCGTGATAGCATCAAAGAATGATAAACTCGAGCTTCAAGACTGCTTGGAATACAATAGGACAGCAAAGGTAAGACGTGCTCACAAATGGTCTGTGCGGTGGTCCTCTGGAAAACGCACTTGGTGACCTCCAAGTGGGGACTTGGGAGATGACCTTGGTGTCCACTTGGTCCCTACACCTCCCCTCACGTTAATTCCTGGTGCTGGGCCTCTTTCCTCACATAATTGTTCTGTCCAGTCTTCAAGTAAAGACAGTAGGAGACATTCTTGATAATAAATAATCTCTATGATAAAAGGCAACTAGGATTCCCAACTTTAATATTGGATATGTAGAGGCAAAATTTCAACTGGCTCTCTGGGTAAGAAAGGAGTATTTAATGCTTTTGCCAAGCCATAGATAAACACATTCAGACCTTCCATAAACCTAATTATCAATGTTTGCATCAAGCAAAGATCCATTTGTCCTAACTGTAGTTGACCATTCTCTGTATCTGTGGGATTTTAACTTGATCTTGCTTGATGAGTAACTCTGGTGTCTTCTGGCCCCCATGTGATCTCATTCATGGTTACTTTTCTGTTTATCTCATTCTCTCTGAGACTGGTCTTTCCTGTTAATTTCTTGGCATTTGTGGGAAACACACAATGGTCTCGTCTCTCCAACCCTTTTCTCATTCCTTCTGCCACCTCTGTCCATGCCTGCCCTCTCTGCTCCATCTCTCCTAGCTGCTTTTGAGCCCTGACTCCACCCAGAACCCTTCATTCTGTGCTCACTCCATGATGTCCTTTTGTTCTCCAGTTAAAGAAAGTACAGACAATAACCACCAAGTCGAACTCGATCAGACAGGGGAAAAACCAACTTTTCCCCGTTGTCATGAATGGCAAAGAAGATGTTTTGTGGTGCACTGAGCTCGAAAGGTGAGCAAGGCTGCACCTTGGAGAGGGAAGTGGTGCAGACAGAAACAGAAAGGGAAAAAGGGCATGTGCTTAAGGCCAGCAGTACACGTGGGCAGGCACTTCCTTCATTCTCCAACTCAAGCCTCAACTGCCCTTCTAAGTTAGTGGGGCTGGGAGTGATACATACCTTTTGGTGTTCGCCCATATTTCCTGGCAGAATTGGTGGAGGGGGTGGTGGTGAGGAATGTGAGACATGAGGTCATTAGATGGCACCATCTGTCTGTTGGCTGCACTGCCCTGACATCTACCTGTCCCAACATGCTGGGACACTGGGATGTATGAGGAACCAGCTAAAGACATGCCGTTCTTGGAAGATTTCTTCTGCCAAGTTGCTCCTTGTGTAGCATGATTCCTACTTAAACACATCTGTCCTCTCCCTCTTCCCTTTATTTGGCTAAGTTTGCCTATTGATGCAAAGAACCATTTCAATTCTGGTGGGTTTTTTGTTTTTTCAGTCCTGTTTTTTCCTTACCATTTTTAAATTTTTGTTTTCCTTACCATTCTTACACTTATTTGTTTTCCTTACTATTTTATAATTACTGTTATTATTTGCTAGAAATATAATTGTTTAAGGCTATGAGTTTTCCTCTTTTTTAGCTGTATTTCAAGGCTTTGATACAGAGTATTTTCATTCTAGACATTTCTGTTCTACATCTTGGTTTTATTTCTTGTTTGAAATAACAGTAGTTTTCTTGGCATAAAAGTAACTTCTGATTAGTAGAAAGAAAAACTAGTGGACAACCTTGCCCGATCTATTCATGCTGTGACTTATTCTATATTTTGAGACCCAAGCATGAAATATGTTGGGCTGGAGCTATGACACTAGGGTTGGTTCCAATGACAATCAATCATTATGAAGATGCCAAGGCAAAGCAAGACACAGGGCTGAAGTGTTGCCTCTTGCCATTGGCCTTTAGTATTGGATTGTAAGCCTGAGTAACCTTGAGGCTCAGCATATCTGTATAGTCTGTTTTCGGGCCTCTAGAATCTCATAGAGAAGACTCTTAGATATTTGGTACCATATGCCCGAAGTCCAGCATGGTCCTTAACTTAATCCATCAATTGGGTTTGAAGAAGGAAGGAAATCTCAGGATGCTGAGGTGTCCTCGCTCAAAGTTGCCTGAGCCTGTGATGATTCAAATCCTGGTGTGTTTTTGAGTGTGACCTTAGTAAGAAAATTGTTTACCTTCTACCATCATTGTATTTTGAAGACAGATGCATGTCTGTTTGCTGGCTGGCTTGGCATTCATTCATTCAAGAAAGGTCACCTGAGCACCAACTATGTGCCAGTAGCATAGTGCCAGTGCTAGGGAGGCACAATACAGGTGCCCTGTGGAGGAACAGTGCTCACCTGACAATCACTTGTGAGCAAGTGTTCCAAGGAACCCATGGACCTGGACCTTCTGGGGCTTATAAAAGGGCTCATTTGCAGGACTGAGGGATGGCACTAGGGAAGGCATGGGCAGGAAGTACAGGACCTCTTGGCATGAAGTGAGGGTTTCCCGGAGGCTCCAGCATGCCGGAGGGGCACTTCTGACTCACTGTCTTTTTACCCTGGTGCCCCCAGGATCTTCGGCTTTCCTGTACACTACACAGATGTGTCCAACATGGGCCGAGGCGCCCGCCAGAAGCTGCTCGGGAGGTCCTGGAGTGTGCCAGTCATCAGACACCTCTTCGCCCCCCTGAAGGACTACTTTGCATGTGAATAGTTGCACCTGGGTGCTGGGGGCTCTGGGGAGTGTGGCAGAGCCCAGGCCCTGCCCTTCCTCAGCTCAGCTGTGTAGGTCATGCTGCGTACCTCAGTTCTCTCCTGCACAGTGGGAGCAGAGCCGCCTGACTCTTGCACGGGGAGCCCGAGGTGCCACCTCCTTATGCACAATTCAGACCCAGCTGCTCGGAGCAGCTAAACACGGTGCTCATTTTTCTTCTCCTAAAACTTTAAAACTTGAAGTAGGTAGTAAAATGGCTTTTTTCCCCCTCCTAGGTTTACCACTCAGAGAAACAGATGGCTATGATACCAAAACCACAGTGCTGACAGCTCTCAAATACTCAGGTTAATACCAAAAAATCATCCAAGACAGTTCATACCATACTTTTTTACTTTAAATGTCTGCTGCTCCACATTTACAAGAGTGTGCAGTGGTAGATATGTAGCTAAGGGACATTTTAAAGGGCCCAGGATGTGTTTTTCCTAGGGCTAGCAGAAGAGGAAATGATGTATATGTCTCTCTTAAATTTTGCCTAGCACATTCCCCTTGCCTCACTTACGAGGGCTAGAAGGGGCCATTAAAGTCTTTTCCACAGTGATGATGATTTCAGCAGGGATGACATCATCACATTCAGGGCTATTTTCCCCCCACAACCCCCAGGGCACGGGCCACCCTTAGCTAAATCCCTCCAAGTGACTGCAATAGAGCCCTCCGGGGAGCTCAGGAAGCGGAGTGCTGAGTTACATGATGAATGCTGCCATGTGCCATGTAGTCAAGTATGGCTCCTATGTATCTCTTCCCTATGAGGGGTGTGAAGGAGGGAGCTTAGGTAAGACCCCCATCCCCTCTCCAAAAGACCACCCTCCAGACTCCTCCAGGCATAGGTCCCAGGTTAGATGGGTATTACCCTAACTCCTCATCCTTTTTCTAAACTCAGAGGCAGGCAGTGACAGCCAGGGGCAGAAGCACATTCCCCTCATCTAAGAGATGGCAGGGGGGAAAACTGCAATAAAAGCTGGATCCTCCCTCCGGAGATTTTAAAATCCTTTTTTAATTCCATGATAAGTCGTTTTTAGCGGGAATGGGAGTTCAGACAACCTGCATTTCAGAAATGCTGTCGTAATGGTTTTTAACACCTTTTACTCTTCTTACTGGTGCTATTTTGTAGAATTTAAGGAACAACATTCAACAAGTTTTGTGGGGCTTTTTATACTCTTTTTAAAAAAAGTCTCAAAGTTCTATTTTTATGTTTAACATTTTCATTAAAATTTTTTTTTTTGTAACTGGAGCCACAATGTAACAAATATGGGGGAAAAATCCGTGCCTTGTTTCAACCGGTTTGCTAATTTTTAGGCTGAAAGATGACGGATGCCTAGAGTTTACCTTGTGTTTAATTAAAATCAGTATTTCTCTATAACAGTCTGGTGTCCCGTTTCTTCTGCAGGTAGATGGATGGGGCATGGGGGAGCACCTGGTTCAAGTGTAAGGGGTGGATGGGTGGAAGTCTGTGATTCATTCATTCAAGCACAGTGTGGGAATACCTGTTGACCCCAAGCAGATATGGAGCTTACTCACACAGTCCAGCACACTGGTCCTCAAACTCCAGCACATCTGCACCCCTAGGAGACCTTGTTAAGGCTGTGATTGCTAGGCCCAACCTCCAACCTCCAGCATTCCTGATTCTGAAAGCCCAGGGTGGAGTCTAGGAATTGGATGCTGCTGGTCAATGCATCATGATAGGCTAGTGAGTGGGTATCTGAATTCATTTAAAGGCTGGATGTCTGAGTTCCAGGTTTTATTCCTTCCAGCTCTTGGTGAGCTATAGAAGTGATAACTACTCAAGTAAAGAATCTCAGGACTGATGCTCACAGTTCCTCATGCTTCTGTGGGATCCTTCTGCACCTTGTTCTGCAGCTCCTAAGCTGTCATGTTGCTGGTCAACAGCCTTCAGTGAGAGGACTGGTAGGAAGTGGCTCTGCATCCAGCCTAGGCCCTTCCCAGTGTGTGAGCTGACACCCAAGACTAAAATGCTGCTGTTCAATGAGTACTTGCTATGTACCTACTGCCCTTCTCAGACTAATGTAACTCCCCCAATAGTTCCATCTCAGTTTGCCAGGGACCACCCAGGCAGGAGTCTTCATCCCAGACCCCCTCATGCCAAAGGCAAAAGGAGCCCATGAAAACAGTGATGCCTCTGCAGAGGTTAATAGGGGTTAGCTTAGTGTGTGCAGAGTAAGGGGCAGAGGTGGGATGCATTTGCAGTTCATCAATTGTGCATCAGACTTGGCACCTCCCGGCCTCTGTTTCTTTATGTGTGCTATGGGTAACAATCATAGCCATCTCTTCCATTAGGGGTCAGGTTCCTAAAGGGTCTGGCCCAGAGTTAGGGAGGGAAGAAACTTTGGGATTGGAAGGATGAGAAACCTGAATGTGTGCTGGGCTAGAACAGCCCTGGTGTGTGTTGTCATAGTGAGAGGATTGGCAATTAGCAAACTGGGCCTGTGCTCTTCCCTCCGAGGCTCTGAGGCCCCAGGTGCCTTGCCTGCCCAATTAGGCCATCTTGTGTACAGTGCTGTAGCAAATACCAGGACAGGATGAAGCAAAATAAACAGCCCAGGCCTCGAAACCCCAAGAAAGGAGATGGACTAGCCCTCCAGGTGAGGGGCTGTTGGGTGTCCTGGCCTGCTTCTGGCGCTGGCTCGGGGGTGGTAATTCTTGCTATGTTTTCTCAAGTTGGGGCCAGGCTTGCATCTATCTGAGTGATCTGGGGCAAGGGGAGAATGCTGTGAACATTCTGATCTAGGGGAAGAGGTTGGAGTTTGAATTCCATATAGGCCTTTTCTGAAGCAGTCTTATGGTTGCCTGGGTTTGTGTCAGTAGTGTGGCATGTTGCCATGTAAGTTGATGCAGGTAACTTAACCTCTTTCCATCTCTCATCTAAAAGGTAGAGATAATAAATCATACCTACTTCCTACAGTTGCTGAAGTTCAAGGGCCAGCCAGATCTAGGTAAAATGCTTTGCCTGGTATCTAGCAGGCAATAAGCTCTTCACATGTATTAGGTGATATGCTTATGAAAATGAGAGCTATTAGTCATTGCAATGCTAATGGCAAGACTGGGTGCTGGTGTCAACAGTAACATCTGACACTTATTAATAAAGTCGTGGAAAGGTGGGGTAATACTTCCCCAGTTGTAGGAAAGCAGCCGGCTGACTTACGCAAACTAGCAACAGCAGCCTCTTGTGTTGAAGACGTGCCTCTCACCACCCCCACATCGTGTTGGGGGCCCACTGCTCCTCGTTAGGGAGAGGGGATGGGGTGGCTTTGGCATCTGGGACCCCTGAGGCCTTGTGGAAAGGATCTTGTCTGGGGGTGCAGGAACTGGCCTCTGGGTAGTTCCACAGTTGTGTCGTGGGGGGTGGGGGCAACACCGATGGACAGTCTATCATGCTTCCTTGGTCCTTCTGATCTTCTAGCCACCTGAATACCTCCGTGCCAGGCATTTGCTTCATCCTTGATTCCTCCCTGGGGCCAGGCTGGGTTCCTATCCTGAGTTCACCTCCTACTAACGTGATCTTGGATGTGCTCCATAGCCTCTATGCCTCAGTTTACCCAACTATAAAATAGGGATAATAATATCAACCTCATAGAGCTGATGTGTGGATCAAATAATTCAGTGTATGCGAAGCATATGGAAAAGTTTGGTGGGTCGTGAATGCTGAGGAAATGACAGCTGCCTTTCATTGCTGTTAGAGAACCCCCTGGCCACCCTGCAGTGAGACCTGATCCCCATGATTATAGATGGGACAACTGACTCCAAAGAGCTTCCATCACATGCCCAAGATCACACAGACACTAGCAAAAGGAGTAGGAAGTCGGAGTCTGCTCTGTGAAGCCAAAGTTTACCTTTTCTCCTTGGTCTAACCTGCATCTTTTTTGTTGTTTGTTTTGTTTTATTTTGCTGGAGCTTGAAATTACCTGGTACCCTTTGTAGCATTGGGTACAACTTGCCTGCCTTCCTTGCTTTCTTCCCTTCTTACTTTTATCCTGCCAAACTTCCCCTCCTCCCTCCTTTTTCCTGTTCTTTGTTCTTTTCCTTTTTTTTTTTTTTTTTTGAGACAGAGTCTCACTTTGTTGCCCAGGCTAGAGTGAGTGTGTTAGGGACCAACCTTCCACAGCCTCACCAGACAGAAAAGCAGAGACATCGAGGATGTAATTACACAAGAGGAGGTTTATTTTCTGGCTAGCCAGGGTCCAAGCCCTAGAGCACCAACGCAGTGGCCACTTTTGCAGGCAAGGACCCCGACTGG